TCTCTCTCTCTCTCTCTCTCTCTCTCTCTCTCTCTCTCTCTCTCTCTCTCTCTCTCTCTCTTTCCTCACTCATTCTAGGCGCTGAAACGTTGCGAATGCATCGAATCGTCGACATCTCGACAACTCGCGAGTGGTATGTCGAGAAAGAGATAGAGAGGGGGAGAAAAAAAAGAGGGGAAGAGCAGGATGGAAAAACACAAGGCGGAGACGCAGATCTATTTGCAGATGCGTCCGCTTATTTATCGCACACACAGGAAATGCACGTACGCATACGCCGGGCACGGCGGATGCTGCTCTGCAGAAGAGTGATTCTCCAGGCAGCAGGATGACGAGAGATGGCGGTGCGAGCTTACACGCTCTTTGAGAACACGGCGTCTCGTGTGCGATCTCCTTATAATCCCGAGATAGTCGCGTGGAATTACGCGCAACGGCATTTCGCGAGTGAAATTACCCTCGACACACGCGCGACGTATTTCTCGCGTGTAATGCTACATTAAAAATTTGTAATTCTTCTCTCTCTTTCTCTCTCTCTCTCTCTCTTTCTCTTTTTCTACCGGTGGATATTTTCCATATAAAGCCAATCGTGGTTGCAGTATCGAATCGAATATCATTCTGTTCCGTAAAAATTTACACGGAAAAAAAAAATTTGCTAATATATGAACAACTAAAACTGCAGGAGCAAATTTTCTTGCTTTCATAGTAAAAGTTATTTAGTTGTGATAGCTAAAAGATTTGTTTATGTGTATATATATATAATACACACACACACACATATATACAGGGTGTACAAAAATTAGACCGACAAACTTTGAGGGGAAATAGAGGACATAAAAACAAACGTATTTTGTTAATAATGTTTTTCTCTACGACGCTTCTTTTTAATACTACAAGGTACAAAATAGGAATTTTATGATTTTAATAAAAAACAAACATATAAGTGGAAAAATTAAATTTATTTCAATTACACATATATATTTTAATTTTCAAAAAACAATGAATAAAAGAACGGAACAAAAATGCGCAATTGATTAGCTCAATTTATGATAAATGTTCAAAAATTCCTCCATTCGCTTCAACACAAAGATGACATCGTGGAAACATTGATTATCTCACACGCTCGAAGACTGCAGGAATATTCTGAACCTGATATGCTACAATAGTAATTCGGGCTACCAATTCTGCTTCTATTTCAATAGGTATCTCATAAATTCAACGATGTCATCTTTGTGTTGAAGCAAATGGAGGAGTTTTTGAACATTTATTATAAATTGAGCTAATCAATTGCGCATTTTTGTTCCGTTCTTTTATTCATTGTTTTTTGAAGATTAAAATATATATGTGTAATTGAAATAAATTTAATTTTTCCACTTATATGTTTGTTTTTTGTTAAAATCATAAAATTCCTATTTTATATTCTGTAGTATTAAAATAAAGCGTCGTAGAGAAAAACATTATTAAAAAACATGTTTGTTTTTATGTTCTCTATTTCCCCTCAAAGTTTGTCGGTCTAATTTTTTTACACCCTGTATATATATATATATATTAGCATTATTTTTTCCGTGTATATATTTGAGGGAATACTGAAGTCGATGACGCGAACTCGAAAACGTGAAGACAATCGTCACTGACACAATCCTTTTCGTACTTCTCTTATGGAGATAGAGATTTTTTGTATACGCTGAAAAAAAAAAGTTGGTAATACTTACCAAATGCGTTTTACCATACCATTTGGTAAATAGTAATCAATAATGATAAATATTACCAATGTTTGGTAATAATTACAAATTGTTAGTAACA